CGAGTAAGGTGACGTCTTGTATCATTGAACTTTCTAATATAATGAAAGCCATTTGTGGGAAAGTTCTGATGGTTGAAGAACTTGATAAACTAAAAGATCGAGTCGCCTTAACTTTATACAACTTGGAGAAGATATTTCCGCCTTCATTCTTCACTATTATGGTGCATCTGCTAATTCATCTTCCTAACGAAGCAAGAGTTGGTAGACCAGCTTTCTATCAATGGATGTACCCTATAGAGAGGTGTTAATTGAATTATATGTTTCAAATTACTACTGATTATACTTTTAAAAAAAATGTATTTACATAGTATGTTGTTTTGTGTATAGGTTCTTGGGCAAGTTGAAGTCTTACTGTCGTAATAAGCGTTATCCGAAAGGATCAATTGCTGAAGGGTATTTGAAAGAGGAATGTATGACATTTTGCTCTAGATATTTGGAAGATGTTGAAACAAGATGGAATATACCAAATCGAAATGATGTGTTAAGTACTAATGACTTACCTCAACATTATTTGTTTGGAAGTTATGGTCAACCATTAGGGAAAGTTGAAATTGCACACTTAGATGACACGTCTTGGGTACAAGCACACGGATATGTTCTTTTCCATTACGATTCAATAGATCCTTTTTGCACATAAGTCTTTCGGACTCAATCCTAATGAAATCTCTTACTCTTTTATATTTATCATTTTTTAACGACATAATATACTTTATAGTGAGTTTAAAGAAGTCTTGAGATCTCGTGCACGCTCCCGAAGATTACATCAGCGAGAGATACATAAGTTATTCACAGAAACTTTTCATGAATGGTTAGGCCAGACGGTAAGCAACTAAATCATTCCACATACTTATAAATAATATATGTCTTGCTTTTTATATCGAAATCAATGCAAATTAATTCACCATTCATGTGTAATAGGTTTGGAGTGGGAGATAAGTTAGTGAAGATGTTAAATGGCTTTCTCAATGTCCGAATAGAATAGTTAAAAGATATAATGCCTTCCTCATTAATGGGTTCAGGTTCCACATGAAATCTCGTGAAAGATTAAGGAGGACACAAAATTGTGGAGTCTTAGTTACTTCGTCAACTACAAGTTATGCTAGTGTCAGGGATAATAATCCGTAGGAGGGAGAGGTCGATTATTATGGAAATCTTACGGACATTATTGACTTAGATTATTATGGAAAATTAAAGGTTGTGTTGTTTCAGTGTGACTGGGTTTATGTAAATAGATGCATAAAAAGAGATAAATTCGGGTTTACAATGTTGAATTTCTATCGATTAATTCACACTGGTCAACGATTGATGGATGAACCATATGTATTTTTTCTCAAGTGAAACAAGTATTTTACTGTCACGATCCAATGGATGACGGTTGGTATGTTGTGCTCCGTAATACTCCCAGAGACTTGATAGACATCGGGGATAGAAGTAGAGATGACATTGAAACAAGATCAGAATGTTTACCTCTACTACCACAAAATTTAGATGAAACTATCACTAATACAACACAATTTCAATGGGTTCGGGAGGATGTTGATAAAGATATATATGACAACTAACATTACATAAGAATATTGTACGATTTTATATCTTCATTTATTTATTTATAATGTTATAGCTTTTAATATGTTGTCTTTCAATATATTCATTAATTAATTTGTTTTCTTATTACAAATGTTTGTTCATTATAGATATTATGCCGAGGAGAAAAATAAGTGATTTATAGATTGTTTGAGGTTCTGAAGACCATAAAGAAAGAAATAACGAGGAATCGAATACAACTGAGTCTTTCGAAGTTCCTGAAACTGTTAAAGAAAATGTAGAAATTCAAGGTAATCTTCGAAACTTTATTTATTAGTTTGTTCATTTTCAAAACTTACATTTAATAATTTCTTATATAGTTGAAAATGATGGAACGCGCAAGAGTAGAGGACGTACAACGTTGAAGGAATTATACCAACTTCCTCCTGGGCACCGTGTCAAAGTTTCAAGAAACGATGTCGGTCAACCTGTTGGCCCAGAAACAAGTCTTCTGTCAGGTTACTTAGGTATAGTTGGACGTAATGCGAATATGTTACCGATCAATTATGAGTTATGGCGCGAAATGCCTAATAGTAACAATCAGACGTTAGATTTTGTTAAGGTAATAATGTCATTATAATAGATACTCTATAACAATTTAATACTAATTTATACTTACGTTGCACACTTATTTGCTGTATAGGGGAAATTTTCTTTAGAGGTCTCTGACGATTATGTGAAGTAAGCGTTAGGGAAGAGATGGAGAGACCACAAGAGCTCATTAAAGAATGATCTCATCCTTGAAGAGAAGCTACAAACAGTCCCACCTGGAATGCTCAGGTACCAATGGGAATATGCAGTCAGATTTTGGAGTTCACAAAAATGACAGGTATGATGTATTTTTCAAAAATAATTTTAACAAATTATAAATCATCATTAAAAGTGGTTGTTTGACATTGTAGGACCGAGAGCATGTTGGTGTTGCTAGCAGGCAACAACAAAAGTTTACGCACACGGTTGGGTCGAAGAGCTTTGCTTGTATAGCTAATGAGAAGGTATTATAGATTATTCACAGAGTTATTTGTATTCCATGTACATATTAACTCAAAGTAATTATATTATGGTACATTGTAGGAAAATATATCTGGTTCCAAATTTGGTCGAATCCAACTCTTCGACATGACACATATAAAGAAGGATGACACTCCTATGACTACTGAAGCTGCAGAAATTATGGTACGTTTATTTGATAGAGGTTTTAAATTTACCTGACTTTATTTATATCTGTACCAGGACATTTTTTATTTGAATTAATTATTCACTTTATTATTAAGAAAAATTGATGGAGAAAAGGGCGGAGTATCATGCTACTACTTCGAGTCAAGGTCTTGTTAATGATGATGACATTGAAAACCAAGCTATTAATGACGTTTTGGGTCCTGAAAGATATGGTCGGGTGCGCTATCAAGGATCATTCGTTACTCCCACCAAATATTTTGGATCTAGTTCATCACAGTACATGTCATCACAGTCTCAATCTTCCCAATTAGAAGTTAGTCGTTTAAAACAAAAGTTGGTTGAGATGGATCAACAAATGGCTAACATGAAAGCCAAAAATGAAGCAAGGGAAGCAGAGAGAGCAGCAGCGATAGCAGTAGTGAAAGCAGAGAGAGAAGCAGCGATAGCATAGAGAGAAGTATCGGCAGCACAGAGAGAAGCATCATATCAACAGAGATGTGAAGAATTCGAAAAAAGACTCGATGCTATGATGCAGATGTTACAGAAAACGCAACCTCAGAATCCACCATCATAGTGTCATTTATGTTATCAGCAGTCTGTTAATGTTACTGAAAATTGTTTAACTGAACTGATATTACGTTAATGAAAACTTTTATTTATTATATTAGATTTGATGTTGCTTGTAATGGATATAGAGTTTGATGTTATTGATGTCATGCTTGTTGGATAATGAAACAGGTTGAAAAAAGCAGATTTGGGGTAATGTAAGAAAATATTTAAATTGTTTAAATTATGCGCCGCTATATACCATACATTTTGTGGCGTTAAAAAACGCTGCTATATATCATACCTTTAGCCGTAAAATATCTTAACCTTTTGAGGCGTTTAAGAAAACGCCGCTATATACATACGCATTTTACGGTGTTTTTAGGAAAAACGCCGCTAAATCTCAACACCTATTGCGGCGTTTGTGAGAAAAACGCCACTAAATGTCACAACCTATTGCGGCATTTGTGAGAAAAACGCCACTAAATGTCACAACCTATTGCGTCGTTTGTGAGAAAAACGTCGCTAAACCTCCACACCTATTGCGGCGTTTGTTGAAAAAACGTCGTTATATATCGTTACCTATTGCGGCATTTTTTGTTACCAAACGCCCGCGAATTTTAGCGACGCTTTTTGCGGCATTTGTCATATCGCCGCAGGTGTTTTTTGCGATGCTTAAAAATGCCTCTATAGGTAAAAAAAAGCCGCAAAAAGCCAATTTTGTTGTAGTGGGTTAAGAAGACAATGAATAATACCAAGCTTATAAAGACGAGTGTGTACTCATTTTCTATTTTGTATGACTATTTATATATCTCATTTAAGTGTTAATGATTATTCGTAAGTCGGTAGGACCATCATGTAGTGAGTATAGTCGATGATAGAATTAATAACGATCATATCAAGGAATAGTAGTATTTCGAAGGATATGGAACCCCGAATGTGTCTTAGGAACCCTGGAAGCTTCAGAAGGCATATGATAGGCAACGAAAATGTAGTTTTGCAAAGTACCAAAGCTTCAGCGAATAGGCTTTCTAACATTCTTCATGGGTCGAACCAAGTTAGGTCGTTTAGACAAGCTCAATACTTCGCGCAACACCTCTTTGGTAGATATTGACTCATATGTCTCGAAGTAGATCTTGCAACTTGTAACATTCTTTCTCAATGAATATAACGATGCCCTCATCACGCCACTAGAATGAACTCCAATCAGGACACCGTGGATACTCCTCGGTGCCCGGCTTGCTCCCAACCACCCTTGGATTTGGTTTGTCTCCCATTAGAACCGCTCGCCTCAGCTTTTGACGTCATATAACATCGCGATCTTTTGCACCATTCTTTTGAGTTCCATCCTTAGTCAAGTGCATTGTTGGGAAACAACGTCCAAAATTTTTTTTGGTTACAATAAAAAGATGCTGTTTTAACAGCTATTAAATCTCCTTCTCACAGCTTCTTGGTCTAAAGCGAGAATGCTTTGAATGGCTACCGGAGGCTCCTGGGTGATCGACAGCCCCAGACTAAAGTTCTGACCAAAATTACTTCTAAAACAATAATATTTACATGATACAATAAATTTACTTCATTTCTTACATTTTATTTATTTATACTAGTCTTCGCAAACCACCTGTTTTATAGCAGAATATTTACCAATAGTTTATTGTAATCAAACCAGAGTATAAACTACACGATGATCCTAAAAAGTTGAAAAGTGGTTCTCAAAGTAATGAATCATGCACTTCATTCTCGTTTTCCTTTTGAGTTACAGTGTACACAATCCTTTTGTAAAGAGTGCCACTACTAGGAATCATCCTATTTTCTGGCTAATCAAATGGATACTGTACTTGTTTAACGTAGATTTACCAATTCACTTGAAATACAACTCGAGAAGACTACTATATCTTGTCTTACCGGCTTCTATTACTCGGATCAAAGTCCTTCCTGTATTGCTCCCCATAATCGGAACCGGAAGAGCTCTCGTACTTGGTCGAAAACCTTGTAAGGTCCCGGTGGTGGTATTGCTGTGATGATGCTGATACTGAAGGAAACTGTGTAGACAAACCTTGTTGATTATTGAAGAGATTCGAAGTGTAATACGAGATATCAGCATCACTACTACTCGAAAGCAATTGTGCATATTCAAACAAGTGGGGATACGTATCCTGAGACAACGACGAAGGCGGAGCAACAGGCATGGCATTTTGTTCGGGTTGCACTCGCACGACGCCTGAATCTCTATGACTCGGCTCCATATGTCCTTGAACTAGTTCGGGGAAATTCAGTTTGGCCTTGGTACCTTTGAATCTGAGAGCAGCTTTATCGTATGCAAGGGCTGCATCCTCGGCCGTGTCGAAAGTGCCGAGCCACACTCGGGCTGCTTTCTTCGGATCACGAATTTCAGCCGCCCATTTGCCCCATGGCCTTTGCCTCACTCCTCTGTAATGTCGTTTCCTTGTGTTTTCTTAACATATAGAAAGACAATGCATGAGGACATGACATGACTCATATATACATACATAGAAGCCACCAAATTATAAATTTCAAGAAAGTTTAGTAAGACAAGTTTTGAATAGAATGTAACATAATAGGATTGCTAGCACATTAAGATATCCTAAATTATTGACTAAAATTTGTTTCCATATTATTCCTTAGTTTTTTTTAACAGTCATCACCGATACATTTGGCAAATGCATGGAAAAAGAAGAAAGATGCATGCAACTATGAGTAACCAACGTATTCTATTTCCCCTACTTTTCTTCTTCCAATTAACAAACTTCAATAACCCAAAAGCATGTCAAACTCAAGTCAAAAAAATAGAAGTGTTCTAAATCACCACAAGAAGCTTGAAAAACCAAGCTTTCCAAGCACATCGTTTTCGTTTTAAAAAATGTCAATCTCATTAAATCATTTTCAATGGTGGGCAGAATTCAGAAGTAAGGAATGTAAGATCGGTAACTCCAACAACAGATTCTTGGTCAAGGAAGAAAACGAAAACGAATGAATGTAAACCCAATCCAAAAGATAGATCCCAGCACGTCTCTTGTGTAAACACAGTTGACAATAAAGTACAATAATTTATTTTATAGGAAAGTAGCCAAGGATTGGGGTTGATACAATGAACTTTGACTAACCCTAGAGAGAGAAACTTTTTGTGTATTTTTATTTCCCTCTATTGAAGAAGCGTAACAGGGTAAAACGGATTCAGGACTTGTGCATAATTTTATGTTATGGACCAATTTGATTAAACAGATAAGAAAATTTGTTGTTATAGTCAAAGATAATAACAAATATTATGCACCTGGATCTTTAACTACTGCGGGTTGAAGAGGAGGGCCGGGGTCTTCTTTCATGGCAGACTGCACCGACGATTGTTCGAAGCTGAAAAGCTGCTGCTCATCGGTGCCCATCACTTGAGTGAGAGCGGTAACCATGGCCGACATATCGGCTGATTCCGGCCAAGAACTTGTGCAGAAGTCATCGCGTCCTTGTCTCTTCTCCTCCGATGTTTCGGGTGGAAGTGGCCGTTTTCCATGCCTTCGATCCACCTTATTCTTTTCTCCCAAAGATTTTGAAGATCAAACTGTGATGATGCACTAAGAGGTTGGCAGATTCATAAAATACTCTAGAGGAGGAAAATAGGTTTGAATGATGGGAATGAAATATATATAGATGGTGATGTGAGAGGAAATTAATCTTGTTGACTCGATTTATATAGAAATTAATCTCATTGAGTCAGAATAATATATAGTGATAAGAAAAATTAATTAGATAAATATTTCGATCGTTAATGTTTTCAAAGTTTCTATTTAAAGTGTATAAGGTCAACAAATTAAGTGAATTTGGTGGTAAACAAATTGTTGTTATTTTTTAAGATTTCGGATTCAAGCATCAAGAATGCTAGAGGTATGAACGTTTAATATCGAATGATTGAGTGTTATCTTTAAACATATGTTACCTTATACTTATCCCAAATTAAAAAGAAAAAAAGAAGGTTATTCTATTAATGAATGGTAAACAAATCCATCCACCAATGATTGTTTGACACGTAATATTAATTTTGAAATTTAGTATTTTTAATAAAACTGTTATCTTTCCTTTTTCTCTTTTTATTGAATATCTATTTTATTTTCCTATTTCATTTGGTGAAGCAAACATAATGCAATAGATCAGTGCATGAAAAATGCAATAACAACGTTATAAGGATATATAATAATTAAAACATGTTTCATTCTTATTTCAACAGTTGATTAGTAGTTTTTATATTTTTCAATAAATCATTTAATGATACTATTAATTATACCCACCAACCTCTTCTTGCCAGCTACTCAGCTTCTCCATTTTGAACAAACTCAATTTGCGACCAAGTACATGTATTTCCAATTTTCATTATATATATTCCAAAATATGATGTTAAGTTTCAACAATATAAATTACTAAAAACAATAGCATATATATTTAGTGTACAGTACACAAAATATAATGATATAAATTTTTGTTATTAAAAATTTTAAAATAAATTTTAAGTTTATTAAATTATTGCAACATAAATTATCATATATTATAAAATATTTTTTAGATGGTGCAAGAGATGCAATCACATGCAAAGCATTTTCAACAGCGGGACATTAGAACGTATAATATATGGATTGAAAATGAAGGAAATTTTGTGGAGATGGAGAATGGACGGTTGCATGCATCTGGTATTTGATTTGAGAGAGAGGTAATTGCAAAATTCATGAAAACATTAAAATACAGAAATAAATAAAAGGGGATGTTCATTTCTTGTCATGCAATCCATGACTTAAATTAATGCGACCCATGTCCCTCTTTGACACGAAACTCCACAATTATGCATGTTCTCTTATGTATTATTAAGTTTGACCTTCATGTGCCTAACATCACTTTGCAAAAGAAACATACAAAGGGAAGGAAGTCATGTCACGTCACGCCTTTCTATTCAAATTTCAATTTATGTTTTTTAACAGTTTAGACGGTAAAATCAACGAGATAATACACTGATTTTTTTTTTCACGAGATAATGTTCTCGACAGATTAATTGCTCAGATGGGGTAATCTCTACAGACCCCATATAGATCGCCAGATGTTCCGGACGACGTTCCTGTGAAATGAGGTAGGTTGCACGCCCAACGACCTACCAAATCGCCATACAGTCCATGCAATCCCAAAGGTCGTCATGCAGTCCAACACTCATTTGCTATAAAATAACGTAAAATAAATAAATACCAACCAATTTTTAGTAATAAATTTTACAGCAAATAAATATGTAATAATCAGATTGGAGAGATCTCATGTTAGGCGCTGCTGGTCTCTGCAAATTCTGTTGTTTGACAACTGTATTTTCTAAGATGTATATAATTAACATTAAATAATATTTAGCTTTTAATTTTTCTCCAACCCCAAACATGTAATTTTGTTTTTTCTTTCAAATAATTATTTCTTACAGCAAATGAGTGTTGGACTGCATGGTGATCTTTGGGGACTGCATGGACTGCATGGCAACATGGTAAGTCGTTGGGCGTGCATGACGACATACCCCATACGTCACCCAAAGCACCTGGCGACCTACATGGGGACTGTAGAAATCACCTCATCTGAGCAATTAATCTGGCAAGGGCACTATTTCGTGAAAAAAAAAATTCAACGCATTATCTCGTTGATTTTACCCAGTTTAGACTATTAAAAAAATAGTATTCATTTATAATTTTATTTAATTTATTAATAACGTATATATCGCGTACTCATAGCAAGAATAGACCGAGGGAAGCACTAGGGTATGATTGTACTTCTTTAAAATTTTGAAATTCATATATACTTTAGGTATTTTCTTATTAATTATTTAATTCCACATCTCCTAAATTTTTAAAATAATTTTCTAAGTTCGCTTTCCTAATGTAAAATAATGTGTTTGTCTCTACCTATAGATACAATTGTTCAAACTTGAATCTTTTAAAAAAATAATATTATTTTTTATCACTAATAACCACTCAATAAATTTCAAGTTCTACTTTAAAGCACTCAAATTAAGTATATTAAACTCATCGCCTTAACAAAAACAACAAGGATCGTGAAATGAATTATTGTGATAGCCAGATAAATAATTTAATGATAAAATTAATACTAATAATGAGATATTAATTGAATTTAAATAAAATTGTATTAATGAAGTGAAATTATATTACATAAATCAATCGACCCAATGATTAAGAGATTATTGTTATACTTTAATATTTTAAATTCAAGCATTGCATAATTAAGTGTATATTGAACCGATACTTTTTATATTAACCTTATACTAATAAAAAAATATTGTTAATGATGTTAGATCAAGGTCTCGTTTAGTATTTTGCTTTTAGAAAATGATTTTGGGATTAAAAGTATTTTTGGAGTCAGAAAAGCATTTTTCAATCCAGACACAGAAATTAAAATTTTCATTCAATTTTTTGTTTGAAAAGTACTTTTGCAATTGAAAATATGACTTTAACCTTCATTTTATTATCTCTTATCTTACAGTTCATAAATTTATAAATTTTTATCGATGTATAATTATATAATTAATAAATTATCTTTGGGTTTACAATTTTATATCTTATCATGTCAATTTTTTTAGATAAAAATTATTTTAAATTTTATATATATATTTTTTGGATAATTAAAATTTTATTACCCAAGAGCTGTAAACTGCTTCAAAACAATAGAATAAAAAATACAAAGATCATCCAAAGCCAAACGGCAAACAACCCATCAGACAATACCCCATTGGTTACAAAGAAAAATATTAACATTGTCAATTCTACTTATAGTTTTTCCTCTTAGTTGAAGCCCTATAATTTCCTTGATAGCTTTAAACATTTCTTCGACAGTAGATGAGTGACTTTGGAAAAGTCTCTTGTTTCTTTCCTTCCATATGGTGTAAATGAGTGCATTAGAAGAAACTTTCATGATGGTAGACAAAAGAGATTTTCCCTTCCATAACATAGTAGCCTAACCGAAGAGAGCATCCCAAGAATGATGATTAAACTGTAAGCCATTGAGAGCAAAAAGAGTAGACCATAGGGACGAGGCAACCGGGCAATCGAAGAATAAGTGATCTCTCGTTTCCATGGTAGCAGCACAAAATATGCAGTGACAGTCATTAACAAGCCCCATTTTAAGAAGTCTTTCTTTCGTAGGCAGTCTGTCAATAAAAGCCATCCATGCTATAAGACTATGCTTAGGTATAAGGAGAGGGAACCAAAGCAAAGAGTGCCATTGCACTTTAGGATTTTTAACTCTAATCTCATTCCAGATTTTGCCAACATTCGAAATATCAGTAGACAAAATGTTGGATGCTTCATTCCTTAATTTGAGAATTTTCTTTAAACTCCAGCTCATGTTAGATTTAGCCTCCACAGTCCAGAAATTATTAGTATTGAACATGTAATTCCTTAACCAAGCTACCCACAACGAACCTTCTCCAGCCAGAATTTTCTTGATTAGAATCATCATGCAAGCTTTGTTCCAAGACTTCAAATCTTTAATGTCGAGATCTCCCTCTGATTTTGGTTGACAGACCTTATTCCAACTCACTCTAGCACCGACAGATGACTTATCAGCTCCTTTCTAAAAGAATTGAGAACATAACTGTTCAATCTTTTTAATGACCGAATAAGGCAAGAAAAACTGTCTACACCAAAAGTTAGAGATAGTAAATAAAACAGCTCGAACCAGCTCCAGTCGTCCTGCATAGCTTAAAGCCTTCCCCGACCAATGATTCAATCGAGCTTTAATGCTGTCAATAAGAGCTGAGCAATCCTTTTCTGAAATTTTCCTTGTGACCAAAGGGATGCCCAAATATCTAATAGGCAGACTGCCTAACTTAAAACCTGTGAGCTCTTTAAGATCCTCAAGAGTAGTAGAAGAAATCCCAGCATAAAATAAATCACATTTGGACGCATTTAATTTAAGGCCAGACATCTCATAAAAAGAGTCAAGGACAGAGGTAACTCCAATGACAGAATCAACATTTCCTTTGCAGAAGATTAAAAGATCATCAGCAAATGAGAGATGAGTAAGACCAATTCGTTTACATTTAGGGTGATAGCCAATTAAACCTTTAGTGGCAGCAAGGTTCAGGAGCTTGGACAGAATATTAATAGAAAGAACAAAGAGAGAATGAGATAAAGGATCCCCTTGTCTTACACCCCTAGCTCCTTTAAAGTAACCAGTAAGGCTTCCATTCAGAGAAATTGAGAAGCTTGTAGTAGAATAACAAGTTTTGATCCATGAAATAAAGAGAGAAGGAAAACCATAAGCCTTTAAAACAGCAGAAATAAAGTCCCAGTTAAGAGAGTCAAAAGCTTTGTGGATGTCGATTTTCAAAGAGCAACGAGGAGAAATGTTCTTCCTATTGTATCCTCTCACTAATTCCTATGCCAAAAGAGTATTATCAACAATAGATCTGCCCTTGATGAAAGCGGATTGATTAAGAGTAATAAGGTCAGGTAGAAGGTTGTTCATTCTATTAACCAGGATTTTTAAAATGGCTTTGTACACCACCGAGCAACAAGAGATTGGTCTAAAATCTTTGACCTTACTAGGATTTAGAATTTT